TGGGATGCGTTCAAGCTAGAAGAACAATCGGTTTGTAGGTGTTTTTGTAATTTTAAAATTTGTGACCAAACGAGAGGATATTTTTGAAAACTTTCTTCGGCAATATTGCTCTAAATTATGGCAGGAATCGATTGGTACATGTTTCAAGTCGCTAAGTGGTCTGGTTGACGAGATATGGGCCAAAAACTGCTTTTTTTCGAGGTTTTTTGGCTTTTCCGGGAAATACATGAAAGAAACCCGGAATTTTTATGGCCTATGCTCATTCTTGTAACTTGCTTAACATAATTGCTTTTGGAACTAGTCATCGATATTGCTTCGTTGAGGAGGAGATACGACTTAAAGCCCGGACACACATTCATCCATACATTCATCCATCCATCCATCCATCCAGAAATGACGCGTTAATAAACGCAATTCTCCAGAATGGAAATTGCGCTAAAAAAAGCACAAAAAGATCCACTGGTTCACCAAACATCCCACAAAAAAGAGCCCATTACTAAACCAAAAAAGCTTACGAACCACCAAAAGGTTTATTTTTTTCCAAAAGGTTTGCTACAAACTGGCGGCCCCGAGTTCACCAAAAGTGCAGTAAGATTCACCAAGACCCACACAAGAGCCCACTAATACATTAAAATTCTACAAACGCCCCCCTTAAGTCCACAAACGGCCCACATAGTTCCACAAATGGCCCACATAGCCACACAAACGGCCCACATAGTTCCACAAATGTCCCACATAGCCCCGCAAACGGCCCACATAGCCACACAAACGGCCCACATAGTTCCACAAACGGCCCACATAGTTCCACAAACGGCCCACATAGCCCTACAAATCGGTTACCCTGTATCGATCAGACAGAAAGTGATTTCCATTTCTGGCCAAATATTTACTTATCATAACGAGAGGGGGGAACATGGGGCGGGGGGGGGGGTAAAAACAAATTTGGGGAGCCGAAGAATCAATCCGACGATGACCTTATGTCGTGTGGACCAAGCACGTGAGCTAGTCAGTTCATGACCTCTGGCTTCGTACACTGACCTTTGACCTAGTGTTTGATACTTTATAATAAGTCGCACAAAAAAAACTATTAAAACACACAACGAACGTGTCATAAAGCATATCAAAACACACCACACATTAATGGACCCACACTAGAAACATATCAAATCACCCACCACACCCACACATTAATGGACACACACAAAATACAATAAATCACACACCACCCACACATTAATGGATATTCCTTAGAAACACAACGAACCACAAAGTCTGACATACAAGTGTGACGGTATAATAGTTATACGTCATCTTGCCTTGCCTACGACCCCACCCGTTACTCACATTATTACCCCCCCCCCTCCCGTCAGATTCTGTAAGTTATTTCAGCGCACAGATCGCTGGTCATTTGACTTAGCGGCCAACCAATCATATCAATGGCTTGACCAACTCGTGGACACCTAACACACTGTCCAGTCAGGGTGGAGGGACTGGTCACGTGATACACAAAGTACAAGTGTATTTCTGGGGGGGGGGGGGCATCGCTTTCTTAATTCTTACACGATTAGCGCTAAATGCTTCATTAAGAACCTACACCTAATTACTATAAAGTAAACCCCAACACCAACCAGCCAACCCGACCACAACCACACCACCAGATAATAACGTACCTGACCACCACACTCTGGTCAACCCGTTTACCCCACCCACAGGTTCGTTTAACCCCCCTCCCCCGGAAACATCGTTCTTGTTCTCGTCGGCCGGCGCCAATTAGAAGTGAACTCGGCTCCAAGTTTTAAGACCACGAGTCCAACACTCCAGGAACTCACATCGATTGCGTCCCTTCTCTCTCTGTACTTGTAAGATTTCAACTTTAATTTTATCGCTTTTTTCCCCCTTCAGCCACTGCTGTAAATTAAACCGCGACGTCCAGTCAATTGAAAGCTTAGTCGTAAAGAAAGAAAGGGAATTAAAAAAAAAACGGCATTCCGACCTAGCCGGTTGATAACTGGACATCACGTGACTGGCTTAGGTCATTTATATAACAAATAACCCAAGTAGCGTGTCGGGAGGTTTATGGCGCCGCGCGGTGATCTGTGGGGGGAAGGCGTTTCACGTGACCGGAAATGGTAAACATGAGGAGGTGACGTCATACACAAGGTCGTGGGTCGGTGATGGCGAGCGCGAGAAGTTAGTGCCGGCAGATTCAAGTAGCACCAACCGGTCGGTGTCCGTAACCACTTTAGTGCCGGCAGATTCAAGTAGCACCAACCGGTCGGTGTCCGTAACCACTTTAGTGCCGGCAGATTCAAGTAGCACCAACCGGTCGGTGTCCGTAACCACTTTAGTGCCGGCAGATTCAAGTAGCACCAACCGGTCGGTGTCCGTAACCACTTTAGTGCCGGCAGATTCAAGTAGCACCAGCCGGTCGGTGTTCGTAACCACTTTATTGCCGGCAGATTCAAGTAGCACCAACCGGTCGGTGTCCGTAACCACTTTAGTGCCGGCAGATTCAAGTAGCACCAACCGGTCGGTGTCCGTAACCACTTTAGTGCCGGCAGATTCAAGTAGCACCAACCGGTCGGTGTCCGTAACCACTTTAGTGCCGGCAGTTTCAAGTAGCACCAACCGGTCGGTGTCCGTAACCACTTTAGTGCCGGCAGATTCAAGTAGCACCAACCGGTCGGTGTCCCTTACCACTTTGGTACGGTGACGATTGCGACAGCGCAGCCGCAAACATTCCGACTGGGTCGTCTCCGGCAACAACTCTACGTCCGTTCCGGCATCAAATTACGTGTGGACAACCTCTCAGAATCCGGTCGGGTCAGTTCCGGCATAAAATCATGACACGACCACCGCTCACATTCCGGTAGTGCCGGCAACTATTTTGTTCTGGTGTCAGGTTTAACACCCCCCCCCCCCCCCCCAGCCCCGCCCTACTCTGGAACAGAGGCGTAACTGAGTGGGACAACCGCCTGATTGCGACGCCTTTTGGGAGGTGTATTCTAGAAATCAAATTACCCAAGTTTTCAACAGCCTCTACTCAATCCCGAATCTTAAAGTACATTGCTGATACTCAGGCGTCGCCATGGAACATCGTACCACTCATTCACAACGTCGATTGAAATTTTTGTACTTTTATTTTTACAATATTTGTCTAGAGAACAAGCTTAAACTATTAACGGTTCATATTTGGTTGTTCTATTTAAAAAAAAAAAATAAAGATATTTGTTTCCTACCCAGTAGATTTAAATGGATCACATTAAAAAAATTGACCATGATTTGTTCATCTCTGTTTTCTTAATACGTAGCAGGGGCGTAGCGAGGGGGGGGGGGGGCGGGGGTGCGGACCGCACCGGGTGACACCATTTAGGGGGGGTGACACCAAGGCAAAAAATAGCAAAATATATAGAGAAAAACTTGAGGGGGGGTGCAAATCGAAAACTTGAGGCGGGGGGGGTGCAAATCGAAAGTTTGAGGGGGGGGGGGTGCTAATCGAAAACTTGAAAGTTTGTCCCCGGGAAGGGTCGCTACGCCTCTGGGGGGTGACACCATTAAGTGCCGCACCGGGTTACACCCGACCTCGCTACGCCACTGATACGTAGTGTTTACATAATGTACATTTGAAAAACAAAAATTTCCCCTTTGAGTTTTATAGTGGTCTATAAAAAGATTGACAGGACAAATTTGGTAGCTTCCATCATTACATAAAATAATGTATGTAAGATAATCTATGTTTTGAATTTTGTAATTAGAAAATTGAGTATACTATGTGAACTTTAACTTCCTGTTATGAATAAATTACTGATAGACAGCTTGTCAAATGGGAGACAATCCTACCACATCAAGTGGACGGATCTACATCAAAGTGAATCGCTCGTCTAACAAGATAAGAACAACGAAAGTACACCCTCGTGAAAGTGTGTGTTTGTTCAATCACAAGGTGGCGGCTAGCTTAGACGGCAGAGACAGCCCCCAAGGGAGAAAACTGTTGCTCTAGTAGACAAGACAAGATCAAGCAATTATCATCAAAAGATCAAACTATCATCATCAGAAGCCAAAAGGTCAGCTAGGTCACACGTTGGTCACAATGTGACTTAAATTTATCTAAAATAAAATGACTATAAAAAAAGTTTTGATACAAATTGCACGTGTTTTGAACGATATTTTATCATTTAGATAATTTGTCTGAAATATTTAGTTTGACATATTTTCTCATGTAAATCTAACAAAAATTGACCGTCTTAAATGTTTGCTTTTACAAGTTTGCCTTATTGCTGTTATTAAAAAATATTCTAAATTTAAAAAAAAATTAAAAAAGCAACTACAAATTTTATTTTACAGCTTCAGATTAATTTAATTAGTTCTTGTTCAACCACTGGCCCTAACCTCAACTGAGTACACGCCCTACCCCACCCTCCCTATTCCTGGGTTCTTTCTCTACCCTCACACCATCCTCACCTGAAATCATGATCTAATCCCGACCCCACCCTCAGATGTATATATGCTCTAACTCCAACCCCCCCCCCCCCACCCCTGGGTACATGCTTTAACCGCGACCCCACCCCTGGGTTAATGCTCTAGCCCCGACCCCCCACTTCCGGGTTAATGCTCTAACCCCCTCACCCTCACTCCTGAGTTAATGCTCTAACCCCGACCACCTACTCCTGGGTTCATGCTCTATTCCCCACCCCAACCTCCCCTGGACTTACTTGACGTCCTTACGGTCGTGCCTGGGACCCTGACCCCTCCCTCCCCGTGTACTTACTCTAGCCGACCCCACCCTCCCCGTGTACTTACTCTATCCCCGACCCCACCCTCCCCGTGTACTTACTCTAGCCCACCCCACCCTCCGCGTGTACTTACTCTATCCCCGACCCCACCCTCCCCGTGTACTTACTCTAGCCCACCCCACCCTCCGCGTGTACTTACTCTATCGCCGACCCCACCCTCCCCGTGTACTTACTCTATCCCTGACCCCACCCTCCCCGTGTACTTACTTGACGTCCTGACGGCCGTGCCCGGGACCCTAACATGCCACAGATGGTGGGAGATGATGAGGTAGAAGATGGCGATGATGATCATGGGCACGATGTAGAGCGTGATGATGATGAACCAGTTGTAGATGATCCGCAGGTCCACCTCCAGGTTGGTGTCGCAGGATGTCAGGTAGCCGCTCAGGGCAGGGTCCTGAGGGTGGGGAGAGGGGAGGGAGACAAAATAGTTGAAAGTGGGTGAGTTAATGGATGCTCGATTTGTTGCTCAGCACGTTCAACAATTCAGTCAGTCACATAACAGTGTTGTTGGATACATCAGTGTTGTTGGATACATCAGTTTAGTTGGATACAACAGTGTTGTTGGATACAACTACAACAGTTTTGTTGGATACAACAGTGTTGTTGGATACAACTAAAACAGTTTTGTTGGATACAACAGTGTTGTTGGATACAACTACAACAGTTTTGTTGGATACAACAGTGTTGTTGGATACAACTACAACAGTTTTGTTGGATACAATAGTGTTGTTGGATACAACTACAACAGTTTTGTTGGATACAACAGTGTTGTTGGATACAACTACAACAGTTTTGTTGGATAGAACAGTGTTGCTGGTCGCAACAATTTTGTAGGATGCAACAGTTTTGTTGGATACAGAAGCTTAGTTGGATACAACAGTGTTGTTGGATACAACAGTGTTGTTGGATACAACAGTGTTGTTGGATACAGAAGTTTAGTTGGATACAGCAGTGCTGTTGGATACAACTACAACATTTTTGTTGGATACAACAGTGTTGTTGGTCCCAACAATTTTGTTGGACACCATTTTACAGGACATACAACTATTTTACTTGACACCAACCACAATTTTGTTGGGCACAACAATTAGATTGCACAAACAGATGGGCACCCAACATAATCTTGATGGACAAACTTTTCTTTTAGACACAAGAAAGTTACATCCAGGGACAACACAAAGAAATTTTGTAGTCTGAACCATTCTTACACAAAGTCCACACGCACCTTAAAAAACGTCCATATTAGATCTAATAAGTCTGAATTTCAAAAAGAGGAATTGTTTTTAACTTAGGCACAATTTCCCATGGTCTGCTTTGATAAGGGGAACCACCACGGGGAATTGAGCGAAGGGGAGTTAATTTAAGGAGAGTTAAACAAAGGGGAGATAAACTCGGGGTAAACCTAAAGTAATTAGCATAGTCTAACAAGCTACTTAGTCGGGCGACCATCTTTTTTTAAAAAAAATATTTAAATTTCACTACGTGCACTGCAAGGCAGATAAAATCTTGAGCTGCTTATTCGGGTAAACATGTTTTTAAAGAAATTTACATTTCACTACAATGATTGGTAGCTTTTTTTTACGGTGAAGATTGTATAACCAAAATAAGACGAACACTTTTTGGACAGACATATTTTCGTGGCGTATACATTTCTTTCAAAGTACACTATCCCTTCCATCGAAAGCGTAACTAGGGGAGAGTGGTTGGGACGACCGCCCCGGGCGCCGACATTAAAGGGGCGCCAAACGGGGTAGAAAAAAAGCTCGTTCTGAGCTGCATTTCTGACTTACAAACAAAATTTAAAAAATAGACAGCAACTTGGATTTACGGGCTAATATCACAGTTTTCTACCTCAGCTGTGTGATACTACAGATTGTTATAGGATCATGACTGATATAACAAGCGTCCTAGGTCTTTCCGAATTGGGTTGGTGGGTGGGGGGGGGGGGGGAAGGAGGTTTTCGGACAATTTGATCCTGAATAAGTCCCTACGCCTCTGCCCTTCCCAAATTTAGTGCACACGAAGTTAACTGTATCCCATTTGAAAACTGGGATGGCTTGACGTTTAACGCAGTGATATTAATAAAAGCAAAACAAGAGCCATGATGGCGTCGACATTATGTCTTTAAACAAAACGCACGTTAAAGGTTTGTGATATTGTAAAAAAATGTAAACGAATTCTAAATGAAAGAAGAACTCACTATAAAAAGGGAGGAAATTACTAATTTGTCTTTTTTTTGGATAGGGATGCCATTTTTTATGGCAGGTCAATATGGCCAGGTTTGGCGAGCAGATAAAGATTTTTTGGCCAAATGGGGAAATGTTCATGGGGTTGAAAAACGATATGGCCAATAGACCTGGTCATTGGTGGCCCATGAACTGTTACCTTTGTGGACTAGCGAAGGTTTCATTTTACGGCCATAGGAATATTTTACTTAATGGCCAATAGAACAACTCAATTATGGCCACGTGGTACATGGCCAGCTATCTTTTGGCCATAGAATGTTTAGATGACTAAAAATGTGTCGTAAAGTCTGGGAGTACTGTAGGGATGTGAGGAGGGGTGGCGGTAAACATTTTTGTGTTGGTTGTCTGCGTCATTCAGTTCATTGCTATGATGGACGGAATAGGAGTGGAGGTAGGGGTCAGTCGGGTCTTGTGTAGGGCCTGTGTGGGGTCTGTGTGCGGTCTGTGTGGGGTCTGTGTGGGGTCTGTGTGGTAGGGTCTGTGTGGGGTCTGTGGTAAGGTCTCTGTGAGGTCTGTGGTAGGGTGTGTGTGGGGTCTGTGTGGGGTCTGTGATAGGGTCTATGTCAGGGGTCGGCAACCTTTTGAAGCGGAAGAGCCAAAAGTTACAATTTTCAAAATTTCCCTGGTTTTAAAGAGCCACTAACATTTTTTTATTTCAAATATTTTATTTTTTTATTAAGATTATTAGTATTTGTTCAAGGAGCTGGAGAGCCGCATCTTGATATCAAAAGAGCCGCATGCGGCTCGCGAGCCGCAGGTTGCCGACCCCTGGTCTATGTGGGTTCAGTGTGGGTGGGTCTGTGGTAAGGTCTGTGTGAGGTCTGTGGTAGGGTGTGTGTGGGGTCAATGGTAGCGTGGTAGGAACTGTCGTACGGTCTCACTATTTCTAACTCTTGCCCTATCCTAACTAACTAAACCATAAACTTAACATACCTGATTACATGCACACAATTCCCCCCCCCCCCCCCCAGCCACAGACGCCCACACGTGTCCCCCACTCACCGAGAAGTAATCGACGACCCTGTTGTTCAGGTTGGGTGAGGCCAGGGTGGCGCTAACAATCCAGATGATCAAAATTGTGATCGTGACCTTCCTCAAGGTTATTCGGGATTTCAGCGGGCGACAGATGGCGAAGTATCGCTCAACAGCAATGGCGGACAGGGTCAGTACTGAAACACCCACCACCGTGTTCTGGGGAGAAATCAAGTAGATAAGTTAGGAGATATATACAAGTTATATATATATATATATATATATATATATATATATATATATATATATATATGTATGTGTGTGTGTGTGTGTGTGTGTGTCTGCGTTATAGTTCCGTAACAAATTATCTCAGAGACAAAATATCTCAGACAAAAGACCTAAATACCTATTGTATTTAGGAAGATAGCAGTCGATTAAACAATTAAAATCATTGCCCTGTCGGCAACCTTTTTTTTTAAAATACTAATATAATTTAGAAGAGACAGTACAGAATATCATGATACGTGACGGAAGGGGATTCTAGACAAACACTTTGATCAGATGCTTTTATTTAGACACGGAACAACAGCAACGGTCAAGCTTTGTCTGGTGTGTCGTCATTATAATGACCGGCAGGCAAGTCTAGAAACCAGTTGTCTTCTTGAAATTTACCGTGTTCCATAATATATATTCACAATATTTTTTTTCCGCAGACTTTTCCCAATGCTCACATTATTGGCTATCTCTGTCTCTTTCTCTCTATTCATATGCAACTATTCATATATATATATATATATATATATATATATATATATATATATATATATATATATATATATATATATATATATATATATGTGTGTGTGTGTGTGTGTGTGTGTGAGTGCTTATATACAATGACGTAGAAATAATTATTTTATTCGTACTTTGATCCTGCTGACCAATTACAATTGTATATCTCTGCTAGAAACGAAAAATCCCTTAAAGGCCGTCAGATCGATTGCGTGAACAAAGTCTACAGGACTAGAGTCCTATGTTCATTAACTTCTCAAGGCGTATTGACACAGAAATCAATGCCCCGCCCCCTTCTTTGTTTTCTTATCTGATCTGGCTCTGGGTCAGTTTGATTTTCGTGTTGGACAGGTCGCAGGTTTTTTTGGTGGTAGAACTTGGTTCTTTGGTAGTAGGACTTGTTGGTTCTTTGGTGGTAGAACTTGGTTCTTTGGTGGTAGGATTTGGTTTTTTGGTGGTAGGATTTGTTGGTTCTTTGGTGGTAGGACTTGGTTCTTTGGTGGTAGAACTTGTTGGTTCTTTGGTAGTAGGACTTGTTGGTTCTTTGGAAGTAGGACTTGTTGGTTCTTTGGTAGTAGGACTTGTTGGTTCTATGGTGGTAGGACTTGTTGGTTCTTTGGCAGTGGGACTTATTGGTTCTATGGTGGTAGGACTTGTTGGTTCTTTGCCAGTGGGACTTGTTGGTTCTATGGTAGTGGGACTTGTTGGTTCTTTGGCAGTGGGACTTGTTGGTTCTATGGTGGTAGGACTTGTTGGTTCTTTGGCAGTGGGACTTGTTGGTTCTATGGTAGTGGGACTTGTTGGTTCTTTGCCAGTGGGACTTGTTGGTTCTATGGTAGTGGGACTTGTTGGTTCTTTGGCAGTGGGACTTGTTGGTTCTATGGTGGTAGGACTTGTTGGTTCTATGGTGGCAGTGGCGTCGCTAGGTCGGGTGTCACCCGGCGCGGCACTTCTTGGTGTCACCCCCCCCCCCCCCCCCCAAGAAACAAATATGTGTGTGTGTTTGTGTGTTTGTGTCGGCCTACATAGGCCTAACATTTAAATATATGCCGCATACGTGTACATGTATGTGTATAAGCTTTTTGCCATGGTGTCACCTTCCCTAACTGGTGTCACCTTAAACGGTGTCACCCGGTGAGGTATGCACCCCCCGCCCCGCGGTAGGATTTGTCGTAAGACTTGTTGGTTATGTTTGTAGCATGGCATCGTGCAGGGCCTGTTTATGTGACTGCACTAGTATAGGTCGGATCTAGTAGCTTTTGATGCTAAAACCCATTGTTACAGACTTGTAAGTCAGTTTAGTGAACCATCACAATTTTATGTTCTCTTGCAGCCTTCCACATGCCGGTGATAAATACCTTCGACGGGGTCAATATTAGAAACGAAGTCGCAAGCATGAATATTCGCACGTTGAGACATGTCTTGTTAAAGATTATGTGAGGAAATGTTTAAAAAACCCACAGGAAACTCAGCGTCTACATCGTCACGTCAGCAGCAAGAATGATAAATATCCCGAGTCTGACATAGGGCGTCATGAGAACATGCATCCTGTGGGAGAGTCTACACAAGGTGGGGCACGTTCCCAAAGGGAAAAAAATAAATCATCTTTATTACCCGTGATAAATAGGCCCGTAAATATCTTTGTGTTCTCTATACATTCATCATAATTTTTTTTTTAAATAAATTATTTCGTTATTTATTTTTTTGTAAATATATATATTTTTTAATAATATGCGATTTTTGATTGTCATGAATAATACAATTTTCTTTATTAGGCAGTTTATAAAATTGACATTGTGATATGTGCGGTATTATAATCTCTAGCATGTATTATGAAGGTGATTTGATTTAACGTATTGGGAAAAGTTCTAGAACAATCGCAGTGTAAGTATATCTAAGACTACCAACACGGTGCAGTAAAGGGTATTCGTCTGCAGTAGAACAGTATTCAAATATTTTTTTTAGATTTGAAGATTAGTTTCGACTTTCTTGTTTGAAAAGTGTAACTTCTTTGTTGAATTTTGTATGTACAACTTAGCGTTGGAGCGGTGTGGCCGAGAGGTAGACCACATGAGTAGAGAGCTAGCTGACATTATAAATGTATAAAATGTTTTCACTAATGTGTTTTGTCAAATTTAAACCAGGGGATTGTAGGACATAAGAGTCGTTTGAAATGTAAGGGGAAGAAATGTTTAGGCTAGCAAACTAGAAAATGTGCACGTTGGTGGAAAACTCTCACTCTACCAACTTGATTTATCTTGTTGAAGATTAGCCCCGGTCTTACAAGTTTTCTAGTTAGTTGAGGGTCTTGAAGAAATGATGATGTATTACACTAGTAACATGGCGCCATCTATATCAAACTACAGCTGACAGATCGACACAGGGTGGGGATGTAAACTAGTTGTATGTCCTGTTGTAAACTAGCTGTATGTCCTGTTGTAAACTAGTTGTATGTCCAGTTGTAAATTAGTTGTATGTTCTGTTGTAAACTAGTTGTATGTCCTGTTGTAAACTAGTTGTATGTCCTGTTGTAAACTAGTTGTATGTCCTGTTGTAAACTAGTTGTATGTCCTGTTGTAAACTAGTTGTATGTCCTGTTGTAAACTAGTTGTATGTCCTGTTGTAAACTAGTTGTATGTCCTGTTGTAAACTAGTTGTATGTCCTGTTGTAAACTAGTTGTATGTCCTGTTGTAAACTAGTTGTATGTTCTGTTGTAAACTAGTTGTATGTTCTGTTGTAAACTAGTTGTATGTCCTGTTGTAAACTAGTTGTATGTTCTGTTGTAAACTAGTTGTATGTTCTGTTGTAAACTAGTTGTATGTCCTGTTGTAAACTAGTTGTATGTTCTGTTGTAAACTAGTTGTATGTCCTGTTGTAAACTAGTTGTATGTCCTGTTGTAAACTAGTTGTATGTCCTGTTATAAACTAGTTGTATGACCTGTTGTAAACTAGTTGTATGTCCTGTTGTAAACTAGTTGTATGTCCTGTTGTAAACTAGTTGTATGTCCTGTTGTAAACTAGTTGTATGTCCTGTTATAAACTAGTTGTATGACCTGTTGTAAACTAGTTGTATGTCCTGTTGTAAACTAGTTGTATGTCCTGTTGTAAACTAGTTGTATGTCCTGTTGTAAACTAGTTGTATGTCCTGTTGTAAACTAGTTGTATGTCCTGTTGTAAACTAGTTGTATGTCCTGTTATAAACTAGTTGTATGACCTGTTGTAAACTAGTTGTATGTCCTGTTGTAAACTAGTTGTATGTCCTGTTGTAAACTAGTTGTATGTCCTGTTGTAAACTAGTTGTATGTCCTGTTGTAAACTAGTTGTATGTCCTGTTGTAAACTAGTTGTATGTCCTGTTGTTGTAAACTAGTTGTATGTCCTGTTGTAAACTAGTTGTATGTCCTGTTGTAACTTAGTTGTATGTTCTGTTGTAAACTAGTTGTATGTTCTGTTGTAAACTAGTTGTATGTCCTGTTGCAAACTAGTTGTATGTTCTGTTGTAAACTAGTTGTATGTTCTGTTGTAAACTAGTTGTATGTCCTGTTGTAAACTAGTTGTATGTTCTGTTGTAAACTAGTTGTATGTCCTGTTGTAAACTAGTTGTATGTCCTGTTGTAAACTAGTTGTATGTCCTGTTATAAACTAGTTGTATGTCCTGTTGTAAACTAGTTGTATGTCCTGTTGTAAACTAGTTGTATGTCCTGTTGTAAACTAGTTGTATGTCCTGTTGTAAACTAGTTGTATGTCCTGTTATAAACTAGTTGTATGACCTGTTGTAAACTAGGTGTATGTCCTGTTGTAAACTAGTTGTATGTCCTGTTGTAAACTAGTTGTATGTCCTGTTGTAAACTAGTTGTATGTCCTGTTGTAAACTAGTTGTATGTCCTGTTGTAAACTAGTTGTATGTCCTGTTATAAACTAGTTGTATGACCTGTTGTAAACTAGTTGTATGTCCTGTTGTAAACTAGTTGTATGTCCTGTTGTAAACTAGTTGTATGTCCTGTTATAAACTAGTTGTATGTCCTGTTGTAAACTAGTTGTATGTCCTGTTATAAACTAGTTGTATGTTCTGTTGTAAACTAGTTGTATGTCCTGTTGTAAACTAGTTGTATGTCCTGTTGTAAACTAGTTGTATGTCCTGTTATAAACTAGTTGTATGACCTGTTGTAAACTAGTTGTATGTCCTGTTGTAAACTAGTTGTATGTCCTGTTGTAAACTAGTTGTATGTCCTGTTGTTGTAAACTAGTTGTATGTCCTGTTGTAAACTAGTTGTATGTCCTGTTGTTGTAAACTAGTTGTATGTCCTGATGTAAACTAGTTGTATGTCATGTTGTAAAACTAGGTCAATGTCCTCTTGTAAAACTAGGCCAATGTCCTGTTGTAAAACTAGCTCAATGTTCTTTGGTAAAACTATTTGTCCTGTTGT